GGGGGGAAAACAAGCTCCAACGTTTGTATGAAAAATCTACAGTTTTCATCTGATTAACTTCAACTTAGTTTGTATACTCTCAGCACAATTCTAAGAAAAACCGTATACTTGGTTTTTTGATATTTTTTGGGGCCTAAAATATGGGAGTTTTCCTGTAAAAAAATGTTGGGGCACAAAAGCAAACCGCGTGAACAGCCCACAGCCCACACGGTAAAAGCTAGGATGCTGAAATTTGGGCTCAAGTATCCTATCATGGTGTAGATGCGCACTAAGAAGGGATTTTGGAAAATTCGAGCTCCAAAGGGGGAAAAGTAGCTCCAAATTTTGTTTGAAAAATCCGCATTTTTCAACCGATCGACTTAAAACTTAGTTTCTAAAATCAATTAAAGAATAAAAACAAAACTGCATACTCGGATTTTCGAAATTTGTGTTGGAGCTTGAATTATTGGGGTTTTAATATTTATTCACTATTTCAAATGAAAAGTTTGTGTTATAAATTTAGTCCGATCGATTTAAAATTTGGGTAATGTAATCTACGTAACTAAATCTACAACTTTGCATTCAAGGATTTTCAAAATATGCATTTTACAAAAGCAGGCAGAACAAACAATACAAAATATCAAACAGTTGGGGACAACTAAGTATACTATACATACACACACACACACACACACACACACACATGCAAGCAGCTGTTCGTGTAGTTGCGTGCAAACGATTGAAATAGCCAAATCAAAATGTGAGACACTAATGTGTGAATGTCCATACATATGTGCACATCTACTTGTATGTATGTACATATGTATCTACATATGTATGTATGTACATTCGTCTTGCACTGACAGAGCAAGAAATGTTAATTAATTGAAAATTATATAACATTTTTAAAAGTAATTTTTTCTTTGTTTAGTGCATTTGGCATTAGGGTTTTCATTAATAACTTTATGCAGCAACAACAAATATCAAATAGTTGGGGACATCACATACACACACTCACACACACAACAAGCAACAGTTCGTGTCTATGTGTGCGGTTCTTTACGTACGGTTGAAAATGTAAAGAGAAACATACATATGTATGTATGTATGCCTGTGTATGAATATAGCATGTATGTACATTCGTATTAATGTATACATTGGGCAATCGAACACAGTTGTTTGATTGTAAAAAAAATAATGCTCTAAAAACAACAACAACTGCAATTCATTGGCTCGCTCTTCTTCTTTCGTTTTGACCATTTAATGTTAATTGCAAAGCCAAAACGCCAAAAGTTTACAGTTACCATCGCTAGGCAACGACTGCGTAACATGCTTCGCATTGCGGGCAGATGTATGTATGTATATGATTTGTTCTTATGATGCTGATCTCAATAAATAATTAGATTTTATTATTTAAATATTCTGCTTATTGCATTCAAACTTCGATATTTTGATGGTATCGGTGGCTTCAACTATCGAAAGTTTTACTCTAGCAAATTGAGATAAGAATTGTCAGTGCTTTTTGATTGTGGCTCATCGCTGCACGGCATTGACACGAGTGCCGTGTTTCATATTCCGAGTTTGTGCGTGGCCGTATTGACTCAATATGGCACGAAAAGACTCAAATGTGAATTTAAAATTAGGATATACCCTTATAGTTATTCCCCTTTTTTGCACATAGTCTATCTTAAAACGTTGCGTTATCTCTATATATAAAACAGTTTGTCCTGACTAATTGGTGATCAACGCACAGCCCAAACGGTAGAAGATGAAATTTGGACTCAAGTGTCCTTTCATAGTATCCATCATAGTGTAGGAGCACACTGATAGAGGCTTTTGGAAAATTCTAGCTCCAAAAAGGGGAAAACGAGCTTTAAAAAAAATATGTTATAGTGGTCATGTTCGTTTAACGAAATAGTTTGGCAAGAACAAAAATGTAACGGACTACTAAACAATTTTTTGTCAAGAACAGAAAATATTAATTTAAATACCTTAAATGCCTTCCTACTGGTAACTTATAAGGTGAAAACATATGGGTAGGCTATGCACACACAAAATAAATACAATTGGAAACATTATATTGAGCCGGGTTAAGACGGGCATTACCTGCTAGTTATTTTTATATAATAGTCGCTTTCAAAATAGCTGTGGTCTATTATTTGACCATTTAAAGCAACAATAACGTTATTATTGTCTGCTTGAAGCTGCTACCGAACATGGCTTAGCCTTGCCTTTCTTTCTTCGTAGTAAGCTTTCGTTTTTCTATCCTGGGAATCCTTTTTGGAATTCCTTATCAGGGTTTGAATCTCTTCTCCCAGCGATGCCTACTTAGGAATCAGCGAATCAAATTCTGGAGATAGAGTTGCCATTTCTCCAATCTGGTATCAGTTGTCAGATCCGTTGGAGGTGTTTTTGTTTTGCTTTTTAAAGCCTAATGTGCCTCGACTCACGCCGATGAAAGGTCAATGACACTGAATACCAATGGAAGTCCGCTCGTCTCTGGCGGCAGATTTATCCCGAAGTGTTCCCTCGTTGACGTTTCTGGGACTTATGTGAGCACGACCAGAACTGCTGCCCAACGGAGTCCTCAAAATTTTCCTGGAAAACTGCCCGATAGCGAAAGCTCGCGCACATAGATTAAGCTGGCACAGCTTCCTGGTTGCGGTCCTTCCGTCAACCGTGCTTTGTTAACGAAATGTAAGGGTTTATATACAACATTTTGAATATGCGTAGGTCTAATTATTTCTAATAAGTGATTCTTAAAATATATCGTCGCTAGGATGTCGTATGCAGCTAGTTGAGTCGGTGCGTGCATATCCAGCGTAGGTGTAGGTAGACGTGGCAGCCGGTTGGTGGTTATTTTATGCACATGTGTGGCCGCTATTCTAACAATAGGTAAGAACAGCTGCATGCGTGGCCCATGCGTAGCTCACGATACGGTCAAGTGCGTGTGACATTTACAGTACGATGAACTTCAGCGCTATAGTCATAGATGAACGCCAACACCAAGTTTGGTTATTCTAAGCCTTATACTTTCTGAGGTCCTTGCGTTCATACAGACGGACGGACGGATGTGTGTTACATACAATCGCACAAAACTTGTATAGCCTTTTACCCTTTGGGTACAGGCTATAAAACATATGAGTAGGTCATGCACACACAAAGTAAATACAATTTGACACATTATATTGAGCCGGGTTAAGACGGGCAAAACCTGCTAGTATGAAAATATGTATGCTTGTCTTTGTTAATTTTTACAGTGTTTAATTCTAGAAACTACTAGCCGCTAATGTCACCATCTACATATATATTTGTCATGCGGCCCACTCTATCTGCCAAAGTAATATATGAGTGTATGTACGTGCATATATGTATGTATGTACATATAGTATATATTTCGCGTTCTAATTATTTTTTATGCACTATATGGATATGTACATATGCACAAGCGAACGAGTTGGCCACTATTTATTCCATAGTTGTAACCTGTGAGAAACTTCCCTGTAGGTGGTGACACTGCATGGTAAACGCTACTTGCCGATGTACAAGAGTAGTTACCACCAGTTACGACCAGGTAGTCCAGAACAGGCCAGATCCAAATGTAGCACAAAACTCCAGTCCATCCGGGGGCGCCAAATTGTTCCTCCAGAACACAACAATTGTTCAACAGGAACAAGGGAAATTGCCGGTGGGCAAAAGCGAATCGATCCAGTGGAGATTTGTTGGCAGACTGGCTGCTATGATTTGCTACACTTTACTTGGATTGTTCCCAAATGGAACAACTCAACATTTTATGCTCATGTTATAGGTGCATAAGGCAGACTTAGAACTATGGCAATATTTCGACTTCATTAAACTTAAAATTAATAATTCCAAACCATATCTGCTGAACTGCCTTAACAAAGTATATATATTCTTGAGACTAGTCGATCTAGCCCTGTCTGTCTGTTCGTCTGGCCGTCCGTATGAACACCTGGATCTCAGAGACTATAAAATAAGATTAAAATACCTCCAGTTAGTTATTGTGTGTCCGTATGCCAAGTTTCACTATGATAGACCGATTTAACAAGAAGTTATAGCCATAAATATATTTTCTGCCCCAGCGCTGCCCGCAGCTGTTGTTGATGTTGCTGTTTGGTTGACTGAAAACATGTTTACACAGACACGAACAGACGCGCATAAACATATATACACTCACATAGAAGCAATTGCTATGTAAATGTGGAATTATACACCCTTTACGTGAGTTTGAACACCAAAAGAGGTAAAATCAACATTTTTTCTTAATTCTCTTAATTTTTATAGCCTGTGCCCAAAGGGTGAAAGGCTATACTAGTTTTGTGCGCATGTATGTAACACACAGAAGGAGGCGTGGCAGACCCCATAAAGTATATATATTCTTGATCAGGGTGACAAGCCGAGTCGATATAGCTATGTTGTTGCTGCTTTGGTTCAACTTTGTGCTGCATATGTACATACACTTATATATAAACACGCATAGGTACGTGATGTAAATGTATGCTGTTAAAACTGAACATAAACATGTAGTCTAATTTAATTTAATTCATTAATTAATTCATTCAAATTTTTCAATAATTTAATTTTTTTTAATTTTTGTTTAATATTTCTTTTTTTTGGAGAGTACAGGCTATTTTAGTGTTGGGCTTGCTCGACTGTAGCGTTCTATCTTGTTTTAATTGCTATAATTATTCTAAACATATGTACAGAGTATTTCAAAGTCGGGACACCCGACTTTAGCTTTTTTACTTGTTTTTTAATTTCTATAATTATTCTACATATATGTACAGAGTACTTCAAAGTCGGGACACCCGACTTCCGCTTCTCCACTTGTTATTTATTTTGATGGAACTTTAGATGAGGGCACGAAAATAAGAATCGGAGGTAACATAATTTGATTTAAATGTTTCAAGAATTGCTGTAGTTATTACAAATAGCGGGGAAGTGGAGGGTGCATCAGAAAAAACGCACTAATTTAATATTATGATAACTGTCTATTTTAGGTTATGAAGTCGTTAGAGCCTCACCCTAATGTTGTGCGTTTGCTGGGCTGTTGCACTGAAAAGGATCCGACTTTTGTTATAATCGAGTATGTTAATTGTGGAAAGCTCCAATCGTATTTACGTACTTCGCGAAGTGAAAGGTAAGTACCCACAAATATATAATTTCATAGTGTAGCAGGCAAGCGGCCTCTCCTTTATCATAGCACTGTTGGCGCTCTCATGCTGCAGTCTCTCACTACTGTAACGGTAAATACTCTGTCGTATGTAATGTAACCCTGCAGACTACAAGAGCCCTACCTGATCGATGATTTACCTAAGATGAGTTATTTTAAGTCGACGATCAATTAAGTAAGACGTTTGTTACAATTCTGCAACCCCGTTTGTGTGACATTATTTTCCTTCCTAAATATGAGAAATGGTCCAAATTTTACACTTGCATTAATACATTTTAGGAACATCAGTTATGGAAAGTGTCGGCAGGAATGTGAACTGCTCGACTGTAGCGTTCTATCTTGTTAATATTGATGTTATACAACTTCTTTTTTTCCTGAAGCCCGATTGTTTGTCTCTTAATAGTAAGTTTGTTACCATGAAGTTAGTAATTTGGTTTGTCATCAGGTGTTCAAATGCTTTTGAAAGAAATGGTAGTATGTAAATTGGCCGAAAATCATTGCCTCCCTTAGGTATTGGGATTAGTTTCCCGAATTTCCATTTATACGGAATGCATGAGGTTGTAAACACTGAGTTAATAATGTATGTTATATGCGTTAAAAGTTTAGGGAGTAGCAATTTAAAAATGTTGGATGAATTTCATCGAGACCAACAGCATTGGACGTCACCTTGAGGATAGAATCTAAAACATCACATTCACGTACACACATAAAACTAAAACTAATATCACAGTTTAGTAGCGAAGTATGGTTCACGTACGCATTTTCGAGAACTTCAGGTACTGCTAAATCTATAAACTTGTTGTTAAGCTCATCGACATTTACGTCAAGGTTTACGCAGGGTTTGGATTTTCCAATCCCTACCTTTTTTATTTCTGTCCAGACCTGACTTGATGACAGGGCTGATGTAAATTTCGCTGATGTGGGCACGTTTAGCATTTATGATCTTCAGCCCAACTATTTTCCTCGGATGAATGATTATATAAGATATTTTACATTTCAAGCACTCAAGTAAGCAATCAATCATTGCAAAATGCCTCATAGACACATGGAGCCCGATTTCCTTTTAAAAAATATTACTTATTTCCATTGAAGTGGAGGTTCAGAGTAGTTTAAGCTTGTATTGCGGGCTAAATGAAAGCCTATTGAATATTTTTGAAAAACAATATGGTATGCGAAGAAGAAAATGATTAATATTGATTTTAATTAGTTAATCGTGGCAGACGAGTCTATGTGGTATGACGCAGTGCTTGGTAGAGATTTTATTAAGGCTTGTATAGTAATTTAAACTTTGACTCAAATGTGTTGAAGCTCATGACAGTAGATGAAGAGGATGAGTTTAGGTGGCGTGATTCCAAGAATTACGGAAGGTTTAACAAAAAAACATAAATTGTGGGGGAGTGGGGGGTGTATCAGAATAAAAAAATAAACTTGACCTGCCTAGGGCTTAGGGGAACCTGGATACCAAGTTTGGTAATTCTAGCTCTTGTAACTTCTGAGATCCTTACGCTCATACAGACGGACGGACGGACATGGCTAAATCAACTCGGCTTGTCACCCTGATCAAGAATATATATACATATATACATATATGTAGCGTGAATCGCCCTTTGGCCGAGCGGTGACCGGCGATTCGCTACGCAAAACGATAGCAGGCAGGTGTGTTAAGCAGCAGAGACCGGCAGCGGGGCGGCTGGTGAAGTGGCTGCAGCAACAACTCTGTATAGCGGGGGCGCTCGTAACGCGCGTCGACGCTTGACAGAGAAGGGCCCACTTCGGAATAATTAACAGCAGCGCCGAAAAAAATAATTGCGCCGTTCCACTCAGCTTTTCTTTACCTCACTTTATTAGCCTTCAATGGCGATCAAAACAGGCAGATGGCCCAAATACTTAATGATTTTAAATTACACATATGGAGATGCTTAAATGATCCGCATCAGCGGAGAACACCACCGTGTCGGTCCAGAGCACACCAGGAAGAGAACAACTCCTTAATGTTAGTTGCGGTTGAAGCCTTGAAGTTGGCGGCAGCATGGATCTTGTAAAAACAGCTGTTGATAGGTGGCGCATGTGGGCGTATCGATAAGCGCAAATCGATACTTGAGCGCCAAGCTCGCAGTTTGCACTATGCACTACTAATTTGCATTACATTACCCCCCGCTGAGACTCGAGACTCCTGGCCGAGTACATCTTGATCATCTCCTCGCGCAAGTTCTCCACGAAGATAGGGTAGGGCGTTTCGTCATTACATGGCAGGCCGTAAGTCAACTCACAAGGGAGCCGCAGTTCACGGCCAAGCGCCAGCATAGCCAGGGAGAATCCGGTGGCTTCGTTGGTTGCTGAGCGGTATGCCCACATAGCGAGGGGCAAGAGTTCGTCCCAGTCACGCTGACTAGCAGAGTCGAATTTGGCCAAGTAGTCCAAAAGGGTACGGTACCGTCAGACTGTGGATGTAGGAGCGTGGTGCGTGTCTTTTCCACGCCCAGGAGGTGCAGAAAGAATTGGAAAAGTTCCGCCTCGAAGTTGCGACCTTGATCTGAATGGAGAATAAATTGAGCGCCAAACCTGCAAAAGACTTCTTGGATTAGTGCGCGTGCAACTGTGTCAGCAGTTTGGTTTGGTAGTGCAATGCAGTCGGGCCATTTAGTGAAATAGTCCATCACCACTGCAATGTAGCGATGGCCGCGTGGGGTGAGTGGCAGTGGCCCCAGCATGTCGATCGCCAGCTGTTCGAATGGGCTGCCGATAGCGCTGGGCTGTAATTGCCCGATGGTTTTGCGTGAAGGGCCCTTACGAGCGGCGCAAACGTCACATCGTGCACACCAGAGTGCGACATCCAAGCTTTGGCCAATCCAGAAAAATCGAGCTTTCGCTTTGGCCAGAGTTTTCTTTACACCGAAGTGTCCGCCGGTCGTAGAGTTGTGAATGCTGCGAATACTGTCATCAATGAGTGCCTCAGGAACCACGAGCACGGGAACACCACTAGTTGTCTTCAACGTAAGTGCACCCTGATCAAGCTGTAAGCGATCAAAAAGGTGCCAGAATGCTTTCAGGGTAGGGCACTTGCCCCACAAGGTTGATTTTGGTGGGCGTTTTGCACTGGATACCCACTGGCGGACGACGGCCAGTGTCTTGTCAGCTTCTTGTTGCTGCGCATAACTGGCTGCCATGATTTGGGTGAACAGCACGAAGTGTCCATCGCGTCGTTCAGCTCGCTCACAAGTACGACAATCCCCGCATGGCCGCCGTGATAGAGCGTCTGCTTTACCGTGTTGGGTACCAGCACGGTGTTGAATGCGCATGTTGTACTGCTGCAGTCGCTCGATCCAACGGGCTATCTGTCCTTCTGGCTCTTTGAAGTTGCACAGCCAGATCAATGAAACATGGTCCGTGCGCAGTAAGAATTCGCGCCCATGCAGGTAGTGATGAAAGTGTTTGGTGGCTTTCACTACCGCTAGTAACTCCCGTCGTATGACGGCCGTGTGCGCTCGGCCGGCTGTAATTTGGATTTGGCTAAGACCTGCGCCCACGCCGCTGTCGGAGGCATCAGTATCCAGTATGAACTCGCCAGTTCCACTTGGAAACGCCAGTATGGGAGCCGATGTCAGCTTAGTCTTCAGCGACTAAAAGGCGCCAGTATCTGCTTCGTCCCATAAAAAGTCACGCTTAGCCTCTGTCAACGCGTGTAGCGGTCGTGCAATGGTAGAAAAATCTGCGATAAATTTGCGATAATATGAGCAGAGTCCTAGAAAAGATCTGACTTCAGTTTTGTTTAACGGAGTTGACCATGTGACCACTTTTTCAATTTTCGATGCGCTGGCCTTCAGGCCACTGCGACCAACCACGTGGCCAAGATAGTCTACCTGAGATTGGAAGAAGTTGCATTTTTGGGGGTTCTTCTTCAGTCCAGCATCTGCGAGGCGACGAAAAATGTCTTCCAGATACTTTAAGTGGTCTTCTTCTGTACGCGAATGCGTGATGACGTCGCCCAGGTAGACCAAGATGGATTTCCAGGCCACATCTGAGAACAGGCCATCCATCAGACGCTCAAACGTGGCTGGGCCATTGCATAGCCCAAACGGCATGACGTTGAATTCAAACAGTCCAGCGTCGCATGTAAAAGCCGTTTTTGGACGCGACTGTTTGTCCATTTCGACTTGCCAATATCCGCTCTGCAAGTCCATAGTAGAGAACCAGTGGGAACCATGTAGCGTGGCCAATATGTCGTCCATTTTTGGGAAAGGGTAGGAATCCATGCTTGCATCATTAAGTCGGCGATGGTCTACACAGAAACGGATGGACCCATCTTTATTTTTGACGAGAACTATGGGAGATGACCATGGACTTGTAGACGGTCGAATAACATCACGAGCGCTCATATCCTGAACCAGTTTGTAGACCACGTCTTTAAGGGCCAGTGGAATTCTACGAGATGGCTGTTTTATTGGGCGCGCTAGGCCGGTGTCAATGTTGTGCTTGGTCAAGCCGGTACGTCCCAAATCGCTGGTTTATTCACGCGAAAACGTGGTGATATCTATGCAGTAATTCCAGTAACGATTGTCGCAGAGATGGTGGCAGCCCATAGTCAATTAGGGAATCCCAGCTTTCGAGGAGGAACCGCGGGCCACGGATCGTCGTGCAGCACACTTGCTGGCTCCAGGCGGCCCAGCGCAGCAAAAGCCGGAAGTACTTGCTCCTGTGCAGTCAAATTCAGCAATCGCAATGTCATATCTCCCTAAGTCGCATCTACAAGCGTGCGGCCAACCATAACGCCAGGTGGCAGCTCAGACTGGGCAGCCGGCTCTATTGTTTTGAATTAAATTTGAATTGAAAACACTATAGGCTGCGCTTAACTGTTTTCGTTCACGAGTCTTTATTGAATTGATTGTCAAGTCCTCCACATGGAGTTAGCTTAGCTAAAAGTCGCGTAGCTGCGCTGGCAGGGCAACGGCTTGCTTATGTATATGCTT